CTAAGTTCTAGTTTGAGATTCAGGTTCTATATTTAAAATTTATATCTTAAGATTGTATAATTTATATCAAACTATTATTTCTGAGTAATAAACAGTGAATGACAAAAATATTTGTGAAGTAACGATATATAATTAGAAACAAAGGAGAATAAATTATGATACTGGTATTTTAAAATAACAAACCAGTTTGGAAACCTTTTAGAATATCTTTCGCGTGGAGTCACTCACCATTTGCATTCTTTTGATTGTAGTCAATTCAATAAACATAGACATAAATACAGATTAAGATACACTTCAAAAATATTTTGAACAGTTCTTCTGATGATTAGAATATTTTTTATAAGTTCCTAAAGTTTCTATTATTAATTAATTTCTATTAACGTAGACTTAAATTACAGATTAAAATACGCTTCAAAAAATATTATGAAATATTTCTTCAGAAGATTAGAATATTTTTTATAAATTCCTATAATTTCTACTATAAATTAATTTCTTTAAAGAATTTGAAAGAATTTCAATCGATTTGAAGTTGTGTTTTAGTGATGCTGATTCGACGTCCGCCATTTTGGTGCGAAGTATCTAATTTTCTACGAAACTGAGAAAACAGTTCATCAGTTAGTCCGAATTGATTTCTCTGGTACTGTACGTGTGGAGCAGAGTGAAAGTATTGAAAAATCATGTAACAATTACTCCGTCAAACGAGGACCAAGTATTTATTTAGAAAGAATTACGAAACTTGAGGAAGTACTTTTACCTCACTCGTGTTTCGTAACTGAAGAGGCTAACCGGACAAGTGACATTTTGCGAATTGTGTTTAAAGTTGGTACAGAGTGTGTATCATGCAGTTTTTTTTACTGTGGCAATCTTTGGGGGAATTTTGAGATTTTGAGATTTGGGGATTTGGAGATTTTGGAGATTTGAAGGTTTGGTGATTTGGAGATTTGGGGATTTAAAGGTTTGGTGATTAGGGGTTTTGGGGACTTGAAGGTTTGGTGATTTGGAGATTTGGGGATTTGAAGGTTTGGTGATTTGGGGTTTTGGGGATTTGAAGGTTTGGTGATTTGGGGTTTTGTTAATTTGAAGGTTTGGCGATTAGGGGTTTTGGAGATTTGGAGGTTTGGTGATTAGGGAATTTAGGGATTTGAAGGTTTGGTGATTAGGGGTTTTGGGGATTTGAAGGTTTGGTGATTTGGGGATTTAGGGATTTGAAGGTTTGATGATTTGAAAATTTGGGGATTTAGTGATTGGTCAATTTGACAATTTGGGAATTTAAGGATTTTGTAATTTGAGAATTGGGGGATTTAGGAATTAGTCAATTTGAGAATTAGGGGATTTAGGAATTTTGTAACCTGAGAAATAGGGGATTTAGGGATTAGTCATCTAAGAATTTGGGGATTTCGGAATTTTATAATCTGAGAATTTAGGAAGGGGATGGAGGATTTAGGAGTTAGTCATATTGAAGGTTAGGGATTTGCAAAATAGGGGAAATTGGTTAGGTAATTTGAAAATTTGGAAATTTTTATACATGAAAATTTAATGAATTTGGGAATTTGTTAATTTGGAAATTTCAAGATTTCATGATTGCATCTTCGCAAATTAAAAAATTTGAAAATCCAAGAATCTGAATACGAGGTAGGTTAAAAATTCAAGCAACAGTAAATTCAGCAATTTTGACATTTTTTAAGCTTGAAAGCACAAATTCCAAAACTGGAAGCTTCAAAATATACAAGTCCATAAACAAGCAAATTTCTCATGAGAGAAGAAACATGCAAACTCTATAATTTTCAACTACATCACTTCTAAATCACATTAAACATCAAAATAAAAAGCATCATAAATAATTTATAACCGAATTCAATCCACATCATTTTGATTTATGACTGCCAGTTGAAATCGTGCCGAGTAAAAACTTTCTTCCCCGGAGACTATCGAAAAATCGATCAGCGAACTTACGGTCCGCGGATGCAAAATATGCGGAGGAGAACAAGAGAGAGAGAGAGAGAGAGAGTAATCTGTCCGTAGAGCTACTTTCATATTTTCACTCCCGAGACACGGGAGAAAGTTCTCGAGATGTGTGAAACACGGTGAATGGCCGTCATTGTTTAACGAACACGCGTGTAATAATTGTACGAAGTGGGGGCATTCTTTGAAGTTACGAACACCGTGTTAGACGATAATGGAGATTGTGTAACGAAAAAAAAGTAGACCGTGTATACGCGTCCATAGCGTGAGAAAGAAAAAAACTTAAGAACCATCGATCGCGATCGAACCTAAACGGCGATGTTCACCTAACAGATTATATCACTTCGTTTAATGGCTGTTATAGTTGTTGATGACCATTTTTATCATTGTTATGTACTGCCCTTTGGATATGAATTTTTTTGCAACAAAGATTTTATCAATTTTGTAAGACATTTTGTAAAATTTGATTTATAAAAATCTCTTTAGTGAAAGACAATTTTTAAATGTCTTAAAAAATAGCAATTTTTAAAATGTCTTTATAAATGACAATTTTTAAAATGTCTTAATAAGTTAGAATTTTTAAAATGTTTTAATAAGTTACAATTTTAAAAATGTCTTAATAAATAACAATTTTTAAAATTGTCTTAAAAAATTACAATTTTTAAAATGTCTTAATAAGTTAGAATTTTTAAAATGTTTTAATAAGTTACAATTTTAAAAATGTCTTAATAAATAACAATTTTTAAAATGTCTTAATAAATAACAATTTTTAAAATTGTCTTAAAAAATTACAATTTTTAAAATGTCTTAATCAGTTACAATTTTTAAAATGTCTTAGTAAACTACAATTTTTAAAATGTCTTAATTAGTTACAATTTTTAAAATGTCTTAATAAGTTACAATTTTTAAAATGTCTTAATCAGTTACAATTTTTAAAATGTCCTAATAAGTTACAATTTTTAAAATGTCTTAGTAAACTACAATTTTTAAAATGTCTTAATTAGTTACAATTTTTAAAATGTCTTAATAAGTTACAATTTTTAAAATGTCTTAGTAAACTACAATTTTTAAAATGTCTTAGTAAGTTACAATTTTTAAAATGTCTTAATAAATAACAATTTTTAAAATGTCTTACGATGTCGATGGTATCTGTGCCACCGGTGAAATTATTTCGATCAAGTACGCTTAATATCTACGTTACACGCGAAGGTAACCGGCAGCCGATTTTACGGTTAATTAATTGCTGAAATTACCATCGATTTCACACGGGACACGACAGATCGCGAGTATTTATAATTGAAGCATCGCGAGAGCGTCGACGAGGAACGCAAACGCGAAAGTAGGCCGACGCGCACTTTTTTAGATCCAGCGGCTGCAAGAAATGCGCTCGTCTGATCACAGAAAGTCCGTTTTCACTTGCACTCGCGTCGCGTAAAACCGCCTTACCGATGCTCGTTTTTTCTTCATCCACTTAATTAACAGTAAAACTAGCGAACCGGTCAAATGATCGCTTTACTAGTTTCTTGTTTCGAGTTACAAAATTTATTGGTTTCTGTTTATTAAAATAAGGAACGTGTATTAATTTATTAGTTTACTTATTTGTTTTTTGGGTGTATTTTTTATTTGGAGGTTTGTGGTGATATTAATGTGTGTATTTATTGTTTACTTATTTATTTTTTAGTATATTTATATACTTATACATTATATTTTTTATTTCAATGTTTGTGTTCATCTTTTTGGAGACGATTTTTAAAGGTTAGGTTAGAAATGGTTAGAAAGCTGTTTTATATAACTATCTTATTTATTATTAAAGTTTAAAGTAAAGAAGCGAAGAATAAAGTTGAAAATTGATTAGTAAGAATTCAATAAGAAAGTTGTAAAAATATTGATATAAGAGAAATCGATGAAGTCCGCATATATGGCCGTCGGCTGTTGAATTTGAAAGTAAACATGTATGTATATGTCAGTGTTCGATTCACATAAATTTTGAACAATTTTATCATGGTTTTAGTACTTGATTATTTGCAATAATTAAATATTCAACTAATATTCAATGTTCAATTGCACTCAATCAAATATTCAAGTCTGTTTCATGAAATATTAGATGTTCCACTGTATTCAATTATACATCCAATGTTTAGTTACATTTAATTTAAAAGTTACTGAGTGTATGTAAAATAATTCATAAATCAAGTCAAGTATCTTCATACGTGTTTTATGTGACAAGTACTAATATGTACTTCTGTATCTAGCATATTATCTAGTAACTAAAGGAAGAAAAATTAAAGAAGACCTGATACGACATTAATACCATACTATTAGTCAGTGAGAAAGTTAATCATACTTCGTCAGGAATAATTATTTTTGAGGTTAGAAAGAGAAATGGTTCGATTCTTTACTTAATACTTTACTTATTTTGAATCGATAATTATTAAATAAAACTTGTTAACAATACATGAAAAAAAGTGATAAGAATCACATATGTAGTCATTGTTCGTTGAACTGAATATTAAACGTATGCAAACTTTTTAATATAAAATTACATACTTTTTGATGTTAAACATATTTGTATATAATATTGTCCTTGAAGAGATCAACGCATTATCACAGAAATCTAATAAATAACAAATATCAAGTGCATTATCAGAACACCTAAACTTCACTAAAAAAAAAATTACCTATTTCTCAGTATATCGAACAAGTAAACGTGCTCTCAAAAACTTTCATAACTATCTTATTTAACCCCCGAATCGAACACCTTCTACCGACCCACCAATACCAAAAATTAAAATCCTAAAAATCTCCAAAAATTACATTCCCCAAAAGAATAAAACTAAAAAGAAAATATTTCTCCGCACAAGAATGAAACACTAACGAACAAGCACACGCACAAGCCCAGCCAGTAAATCGTGATTTATACAGACAAGTAATTCGCGTCGGTCGAAGGCTTAATAAAACAAAATGGCAGTATAGGGTAGAATCGATCCTGAGTATACCTGGAAGAACGGGAAGAGGAAGAAGAGGAATAAAAGACTCACCGTGGGCAGCCAGGAACAGCAGAAGAATCGAGAGAACCTCGGAGGACACCATTTCTGACTTCTGTCCGGCACGGCCTTGAACAAGACCAATTCGATTCGATGGAATCTACTCGAATTTCAATCCGGCGGTTGGTACCATTCAAAGGAGGGTCTGATGCCAAGTGGTTGCTATGAGAACCGAAGAAGCTCGGCTGATGAGTTTTCGTGTCGAGACTGGTCACTGGGAGAGGCGTTTGGCTTCGTGTCTTATATGAGCTCCCCACTCTTCCGGCAGGTCCGATCTCTGCCGCATAGGAAGGCCTCACCATGGAGAACACACCTGGTTTCTTCTATCGAGTCAGCCGGCTTGCTAGCTATCCTCATTGATGATACGATGCTTTGTATATAAGAAAGCCTGCTAGGGTTCACTAGGGAAAATTAGGGTATTGGGGTACAAGGTAGTGGTGACACTAGTTGGGCTTCTGGATGGTCTTGGGGAGTTTAGAAATTTTTTAGGGTAGGATTTTGGGATTTTGAGGATTTTATTGTGGATTTAGGGATTTTGAGGATTTTATTGTGGATTTAGGGATTTTGAGGATTTTATTGTGGATTTAGGGATTTTGAGGATTTTATTGTGGATTTAGGGATTTTGGATTTTATTGTGGATTTAGATTTTATTGTGGATTTAGGGATTTTGAGGATTTTATTGTGGATTTAGGGATTTTGAGGATTTTATTGTGGATTTAGGGATTTTGAGGATTTTATTGTGGATTTAGGGATTTTGAGGATTTTATTGTGGATTTAAGGATTTTGAGGATTTTACTGTGGATTTACGGATTTTGAGGATTTTATTGTGGATTTAGGGATTTGGATATGTGGATGTTTGGTTAGTTGGAAGTTTAGGGAATTTGGAAAGGTGGGAGTGTGGGGGAAATTGAGTAATTGAGGATTGATTGAGTAATTGGGGGATTGGGAGAATTTGGGAAGTTGGAGTTTGGGAAGTGGTAGAAGTTGGGAATCTAGGGAGATAGGAATGGGGAGAGTTGGGAATTTGAGGAGTAGAGAATTTTGGGAGATGGGAGCTTGGGAAATTGGGGAAATAAGAATGGGAGAATTGGGAATTTGGGGAAATAGAAATGGGGGGAATTGGAAATAGAAATTTGAGAAATTTGGAATCTGGGGAGAGTGGAATTTGGAGAGAGTGGAATTTAGGGAATTTGGAATCTGGGGAATTTGGAATCTGGGGAATTTGGAATCTGGAGAATTTGGAATTTAGAAGATTGGAATCTGGGGAGAGTGGAATTTGGGGAATTTGGAATCTGGAAAATTTGGAATTGGGGGAATTTGGAATATGGGGAGAGTGGAATTTAGGGATTTTGAAATCTGGAGAATTTGGAATTTGGAGAATTTGGAATTTAGAAAATTGGAATCTGGGGAGAGTGAAATTTGGGGAATTTGGAATCTGGAAAATTTGGAATTGGGGGAATTTGGAATCTGGGGAGAGTGGAATTTGGGGAGAGTGGAATTTAGGGAATTTGAAATCTGGAGAATTTGGAATCTGGAGAATTTGGAATTTGGAAAATTGGAATCTGGGGAGAGTGGAATTTGGGGAATTTGGAATCTGGAAAATTTGGAATTGGGGGAATTTGGAATATGGGGAGAGTGGAATTTAGGGATTTTGAAATCTGGAGAATTTGGAATTTGGAGAATTTGGAATTTAGAAAATTGGAATCTGGGGAGAGTGAAATTTGGGGAATTTGGAATCTGGAAAATTTGGAATTGGGGGAATTTGGAATCTGGGGAGAGTGGAATTTGGGGAATTTGGAATCTGAGGAATTTGGAATTTGGGGAATTTGCAATTTGGGAAACTTGGAATTGGGGGAAATTGGAATCTAGAAAATTTAGAATTTGGGGAAATTGAAATCTGGGAAATTTACAATTTTGGGAACTTTGAATCTAGGAAATTTGGAATTGGAAAAATAAAAAATTTGTAAAAATTGTTAATTTAAAAAATTTGAAATCTGCAATCAATAGAAAGCACCCAAAAACTAAATCTCCCTACTCTCCCTATTTACCATGCACACAACAAAGTAAGAAGAGCATCACAAATGTCCTTCAAGCAAGCTTTTTTGCTTTCCAGACATTTCTTCAGCGTCATCACGCTGTGCGGCTATAAAGATAATGCGGTACGATTAATATTGATTGATTGATACGTAGGTATCCCTCTTTCTTTCTTTTTCTTCCTGTTTGCGATTCAATGTTACCCGAAGCAAAAAAGGAACTTGTTCTTGCGTAATGGATGAGTAATTTGATTCATGTTTTGATATGGATCGTCGAGTGGAATTTTATGGGAATCACTGATCGATCAGATCGATCGGGATCACTTTCTACAATTATTTTCTTACTTTTTATTATGATAATCTACTACCTTGTGGCTTGGTTTTACGAAATATCCTGCTAGTTTGTCCTTCGGAAAATATATGACTTCGGCGAATTATGATGGGTAATTGTGGGAGAATGTTTGAGAAATATGGTGTTTATGATTCAACTGTTTTGCGGTTTTGTGGGTGTGGTGGTAGGGGAACTTGGTATGGGAGTTGATGAATGAGTGGCTTTAGGGAATTTGAGAAATTTAGAAAATTTGAGAAATTTGGGGAATTTGGGAATTTGGGAAATTTGGGAAATTAGGGAAATTAGGGGATTTGGGAATTTGGGGAATTCGGAATTTGGGAAATTGGGAATTTGGGGAATTGAGAATTTGGAGAATTGGAAATTTGGGGAATTGAGAATTTGGGGAATTGAGAATTCGGGGAATTGAGAATTCGGGGGATTGAGAATTTGGGGAATATTGAATTTGGGAAATTGAGAATTTGGAGAATTGAGAATTCGGGGGGTTGGGAATTTGGGGAATATGGAATTTGGGGAATTGAGAATTCGGGGGATTGAGAATTTGGAAAATTGAGAATTTGGAGAATTGAGAATTCGGAGGATTGAGAATTTAGGGAATATGGAATTTGGGGAATTGAGAATTTGGGGAATTGAGAATCTGGGAAATTGAGTATTTGGGGAATTGAGAATTTGGGAAATATGGAATTTGGAGAATTGAGAATTTGGGGAATTGAGAATTCGGGGGATTGAGAATTTGGAGAATGTGAAACTTGGGGAACTGAGACTTCGGAGAAATGGAAGCATTGGAAATTAGGAATTCGGGAATTTATGAGTGATGGAATTTGCTAGTTCGGAAAATTGGAATTTTGAGAATTTGAGAAATTTAGAAAATTTAAAAAATTAAGATTTTATAATGTCTAAGTTTCTCATACAGAAATTCTTTCAATACTCCCAATAAATCCGAACAATATGCAGTATCATTGACAGTTACATAGAAAAGTACACTTCACTGATTTCCTTGACCTTGATATGTGCATGGTCTCAGGGTCAACGTTCTGAGTAATATCTCCTATACAACCATGTCCGACTTAGGTTTCCAAGGTGTCTCCATCTACAAAAACTGATATTTCCTACTATATAATAAGAATCTTCATATATTACATAAATGACATATATGAAGATAATATTACGAAGTAACCCACTTTGTATACTAAACATCCTCACCTCTATAAATAACTATGAATCCTCCATAGGTAACTATAAATTCTCTATGAGTAACTATAAAGTAACTGCCTAAAGTAACTCTCTATAACTTTGGAGAATGGGGAATTGGGGAATTGGAAATTTGTGGAATTTGGAATTTGTAAAATTTGGATTTTTGGAGAAATTGGAATCTGGAGAATTTGGAATTGGGGGAAATTGGAATCTGGAGAGAGTGGAATTTGGGAAATTTGGAATTTGGGGAATTTGGAATTTGGGGAATTTGGAATTTGGGGAATTTGGAATTTGGGGAATTTGGAATTTGGGGAATTTGGAATTTGGGGAATTTGGAATTTGGGGAATTTGGAATTTGGGAAATTGGAATCTGGGGAGAGTGGAATATGGGAAATTTGAAATTTGGGGAATTTGGAATTTGGGAAATTGGAATTTGGGGAATTTGAAATTTGGGGAATTTGGAATTTGGGAAATTGGAATTTGGGGAATTTGGAATTTGGGGAATGTGGAATTTGGGGAATTTGGAATTTGGGGAATGTGGAATTTGGGGAATTTGGAATTTGGGGAATGTGGAATTTGGGGAATTTGGAATTTGGGGAATGTGGAATTTGGGGAATTTGGAATTTGGGGAATGTGGAATTTGGGGAATTTGGAATTTGGGGAATGTGGAATTTGGGGAATTTGGAATTTGGGGAATGTGGAATTTGGGGAATTTGGAATTTGGGGAATGTGGAATTTGGGGAATTTGGAATTTGGGGAATGTGGAATTTGGGGAATTTGGAATTTGGGGAATGTGGAATTTGGGGAATTTGGAATTTGGGGAATTTGGAATTTGGGAAATTGGAATCTGGGGAGAGTGGAATTTGGGAAATTTGAAATTTAGGGAATTTGGAATTTGGAAAATTGGAATCTGGGGAGAATGGAATTTGGGAAATTTGGAATTCGGGGAATTTGGAATCTGGGGAATTTGGAAGTCGAATTGGGGAAGTAAACTCTATAAGTAACTATAAATCCTGTATAAGTAACTATAGAACGCCCATAAATGACAAAATAAAAAATTTACCTAAAACAATGTCATCATTCCTGTAAATATTAATAAACAACCTAATCCAAAAATTGTCCAAACATAATTTCTAAAGTATCCAACCACAATAATCGATAATTCTGTGATTCTTAACCGATCCCACAACGGCTATTGCTCTTGTTACCGATGCGATATTCTTTTGCGTTTCAGCGATCTCAAAAGAAGGCCTTCACGGTTTCTTTCACCGATTCGAGCCGCTTCACGTGATAACTCGGTGAAAATAATGGTGAAACACTGTTGATCGTTGAATAAAATTTGCTGACACTGTTTTTCATTCTTACACTCTTCGGTGTATGTCTGTGTACATGTCTCGTTACGCTTAGACACTTAGGTTAGAAACCTGGGTAACAATCAGTGGGAAATTAAGAGCGATTGGATAAGACTACTGCGTGTAATTTAGAAGATCTTTATCAATGAAATGCATTTGAGTGTGTAATCTCCGTGGTTAGTATACAGCTGAATTGTTCTAACTTTTTTACACTTTTTCGCTGTAATTATGGTTGGGTTTCGTAATGGTTATTATATCAGAAAAGTTTCAAGTCTGTTTCAAAGTATTGTTGGTTAGGT